CGGATCATAAAGGTTGGTGCTATTTTTACCAGGGAGTAACTCTATCATGATAACAAAGAAAGAGTACCCAAAACGTTAATTGCTTGTAATTCAAACAATACGCTTGCTTTTGCCTTCTGCGTCCGGGCATGCGCACAGAACAAAATTCTCCGCTTCTTAAGCCTTCTTCAAGCCGTTCTGATAGTAACCATCCCCCGGATGTGTTCCACGCATTCCGTGTCTTTTTCTACAGAAGATTTTATTGTTGTTGTTTCAATAGCCTGGGTTACGGGCGCCGAAAGGTGCCAAAAACGAAGAGAAAAGGGTAGGGCGTTTCTCCCCTACTTCTTATTGGCGGCTGCCACACAGGCTGTTTCAAGTATTGTTTCGTTTTGTTCAGTACGATCTTTACCCTTTAATTTCCGAGAGTGACCAACATCAATTTTTCTTAACGATATCAATACATAATCAAGAGAAAAAGCCATGAGAATTTATGAAATGATGACCCAAAGGGAAAATGTTTTCAACAATCGTTTTCAACTCAATTTTTAAGGAAATGTATGAAAATCAGTCTGGTGAATTTGTATTTGATAATGAGGCTTAATGGTTTAAGTTAACACTGTTCTCTCTAACCTGAGATCAGGCTCTATTTTCGTTTCTCTTTGTAAATAACGTTCCGGCTGAGAACTGCTAAAATTGGGCCTGATCTCAGGCTATGTTTTCTCCATCTCTCTCCAGACTGTCTTGAGTCTCAAGGAGGAAATTCAAATGGATCATGTTGCCATTTCCCTTTTCTTTACAAAGGAGTTCCACAAAGCACATGCATAAACAAAGACAGACAGGTGCTCTGGTGTGCGACCACGGACAACTACGACATGGACAACATGTGGGGCTACTGTTAATCTGTTTACAAGAAATACTGCTTTAGACGCATCGGTTATTCCATTCACAGAAAGCTATTAGGGTATCATGTCGGAGATCATTCGACTTGAGCTTAAATAGCTCTCGTTCCAACAAGGGCCATATGTGGTTCGATATATTAAAGTTCTAACATGACTCCGAGGCTTTCTGGTCATTTTTATCAATATTTGACTTGGTTTTTCTTTGTGCTCAAGCTTCTTCTGGGAATTGTGAGACAATACAGTCTTGAAAAATTTGCTATTTTTTCGCTGGAGCCTTAGAATCATGATAGAATTTTAATATATCGAACCTGGACTATTGGCCATTGTCAATCTACCCGACACATAAGAGTCAGTGGTCACCACCAATGCCTACTCATTCCTTCGGTTTAATATATAGACCTTTCCTGCATTACGCTCCGGTGAGCAAACATAAAGAAATGAGGACGAGGCTCGGGTGGACAGTTTCACACAAATCACTGTACTTTGCCCACCAGAGCCTCGAGTTGGTGCCTTTGTTTACAGGAATGCGGGAAAGGTCTATAACGTTAGCGAGATTAAGAACAGGGGTTTCTGAGTAGCCTGCGAGGCAGGGGCAAAAATGGTAGGGGAGGGAGAGGGAGAAAAGCGCGAAAGCGGGGAAAAGGAAAGGGAGCGCCTACTATAAGAGCCAATGTTTTTGTATGCCGCCCAGCATTACTTAAGTAATCCGATAATGTCAACTGTCAATACATGACCAATCAAAAGTAGGGGGCTTCTCAGAATGGTCCGAACTTAATTATTCATTTTATTTACTTAGTTTACCGGAAATTGTCAAGTCGAGGCGCTTTTTTCAAGTGATTATACTTTTTCCATTGATATCATAATCGACCGGAACAAAACATTTGTATTGTCCCTTACCCTCTCTCCCCAATCTCCCTCTCTTTTTCCCTTCCTCCTTATTCCCTTCTCCTTTCAACGCTACGCAGGCTATTTTTGAGCGACGCAGGTCAACCGGAAGTTAGGCCTTCTCCCTTTTTATATCTCTTAACGCTAACAAATTTGTATTGCTAAGTTTCTTTTCTCTTAAAAAGACAATTTTTCGAGCGTTTCAACCAAACCACTGCCCAGTGATGCAAAAAGTAAACTTCTAGTTAACGTCCAAGCTCAAAAACGCTGTTGCTTAATCTACATAATCATGCCATGATGACCACTTTGTTTAGAATGTTGTAATCAGTTCCAGCCCCCTTTCTTCTGTGAGGAAGGATACTTGCAAGAAGGGTCTTTGAGTCATTGATCATTGGAGCACTGCGTTTCTTGATTTCGGCAACAAATTACGAGTTAATTTTATAACTTAATTTTTACCATTACTACTGTTGTAATAAAGAAGTAAAATGAATTTAAAGGTGTATTCATTTGCGAAGTAAAAATGCATTTGAAAACATACTATGGTCTGCTTGTTGCACGTATACTGATTTAACCTATAGTGTGTAGTTTTGGCGACCCTAATGCATTCTCATATATATAGCCTTGCAACCTCGTTCCTAGGGTTCTCTCGGTTAGGAGAGAACCCTGGGAACAAGGTTGATAGTTTTGCAGTATTTTGGGCACTACTCCCATATGGGGGAGTCCAAACCTCTTAACTACCTTGGAACTGAAACAATATTGCAAGCCTCATCAGTCCATGGTGCCAGTTTGCCATCATAGATGACAAAATCTGGATGGGCACCTCCATCTAACACGATCTCCAAGTGGATAAGGGCCCGTTTACATGGAGGCGGGGGACCCCAGGTAGGTGAGGTAACCCGCTTAGGTGGGGTAACCTGCCTGTCCATATAATCTCTATTGTAATGTCCTCACGTTTGCATGTTAGGTGGGGTGACCTGCCACATGTTAGCTCAGCTACCTGGGGTTCCCCACCTCCATGTAAACAGGCCCGACAACAGGCCCTAAGGTAGTAAAAAGATGGAACCATCATTGTTACGAAGTTGAATATATTTTGGATGACCTCATGAAGAGGGGTATTTCCAGGGTATTGCACTTTAAGTTATTATCTGAAAAAAAACATTCTATCTACAAACAAATCATCATTAAACATTGTTGTTTGTTATAGTTGTAATTGACTCTTACAACCAATGTCATTCCACTTGTAATGTCCTCACGTTTGCATGTTAGGTGGCGTGACCTGCCACATGTTACCTCACCTATCTGGGGTCACCCACCTCCATGTGAACAGGCCCTAAGTTAGTAAAATGATGGATCCCATCATTGTTGTGGGGTTGTATATATTTTGGATGACCTCGTGAAAAGGGGTATTTCCAGGGTATTACACTTCAAGCTATTTGAAAACAACATTCTTTCTACAACAAATCATCACTAAACATTGTTGTTTCCTATTGTTGTATTATTGACTCTTACAACTAAGGTCATTCTACTCGGTTAATTCTGGTGGTCTGGTGCGAATATCCACTATATGACTAATAAAAATGTGTCCTTGTATTCTTTGGGTGCTGTGCATTTGTTTCTACTCTTTGAATGGTATCAAGGAACGGAAAACATTAAGTCAGTACTCTTGTGTACACTCAATAAAACTTTTGGATCCTCTGTACCTTAAATTCAATGGCAAACAAAAAGTTGGTTTAACTATCTCTGTCACATTGCATGTCAGTCCTTCTTATTGAATCTAATGCATACTTATAAACTTTTCCAGTATTTTGGGCACTACTCCCAAATAAGGAAGGCCAAACCTCTTAACAGCCCTGGCACTAATACACTTCAATTTCAGTTTTCTTTTGTCCCAAAGAATACTACGAGCTTCATCAGTCTTAGCCAAGTCCATGGCTGTCTCACCATCATGGTTCACAAAATCTTGATGAGCACCCCCATCTAACAAGATCTCCAACAAGTTTGTAAAAATATGAATCTCATTAATTTGGGGTTCCAAACAAACAGCCAGGTGAAGTGGAGTATTTCCATCAAAATCTGTGACATTAACATTGAATCCAGTATTCAAAAGGATCTTCACAACATCTATGGATACCAAAAGTGAACTTGTCACATCCAGGCAACATTTTAAAGTCTCATGTAACAATGAACTTCCATGACGATCCTGAGGATTTAAGCCACTAAGTCTTCTTAGTAGCACTGATACAGCTGAGGTCTTGCCTAACTCAAAATACTGACACTTGCAAAGGAAAGTAATGACCTTCAAGGAAACAATGAACAAGTTGTCTGGATAGTCAACAGTTATAATCCTTTTTTCCTTATTTCCCATCAACTCATGGGTTTTTTTCCACTCATGAGCAATTGCTTCAAGTAATTCAACTACATATGTCTGTTTTTGCTCATTGCTCCAGGACTTTTCATAAGTCAAGAGATAATGTTCTACCCTCTCTACATCACGATTGGCAAATGCATATTTCCATGTACATCTTTGCGCTGTTTTCATTGCATGTCTGTACAATCCTACGCATGTGCAAACATCAATGTTCCTATAGTACCAAGCAGAACTTCTTATTCCATCAAGTAATTCAAGACTGTTTTTGCCAAGAATTCTCTCTCTGATGATAAGACTTTCCATTCTAAGGGCATTCACATCTTTTTCTATCTTTACAAGTTCCTCAAGAGATTGACTCTCTTTTCTACATTGATAAGCATCAATGGGTTCCATGGGTTGTTTCAGCACAGGATGCAAAGGATCAGCATACCGTTCTTCCATGCCAAGCATCAAGTATTGCAATCCTTCATTATTTGTACAAAAAGAGGGGCAGGTGATCAAAGAGGCACCAAGAAGCTCCAGAGCAGTAATTCTGTGTTCTTTTGTTATGTCTGATCCCTTGATTAATTGCTTTACCAAAGACGTAGCCCCATTACAGCTGGCTAGAAGAAGAGGTGTTAGTCCTTGTTTGTTACACATCAGCTGCGATGCTCCAGCAGCAATTAATGTCGTGAGACTGTTAGAACCGCTAGAACCGGAACAAACTGCATAGTGCATTGCTGTATCACCATTATCATCTTGAAGATGCAAGTTGGCTCCATGGTTAATAAGGACATTTATTTTATTAACCTGACCAGATCTACTGGCTGTCATCAGGGGAGTGCAGTTGTCATTTCCACGCGCATTGACATCAGCTCCATTTCCAATCAGACAAAGCATAATATCCAATTGTGCCGCTCTTTCACAGGCAAAGTGAAGAGCCCTACCGTCGTTTTTCGACCCGTGATGACATTCACATCACATGACCGACTTGCTAGCATCAGGGGGGTGCTGTTGTAATTCGTAAGTGCATTGATGTCAGCCCCATTTTCTAATAAACACTTCAAAACATCACAAGCGATCAAACCATCGGGCACATCTATAACAGCATAGTGAAGACTTGTTAAGCCATTCTTGTCTTTAAGATGAACGTCTGCACCATGTTCTAAAAGGAACTTTATTACAGTGAGGTCATTAACTTCACTGGCAGTCATCAATGGCGTGCATTTGCTATCTGCCGAACGTACGTTTACATCCGCTCCGTTTTCAATCAAACAATTCAAGACATTATTGCTTGCATACCGGTAGTCTTGTGCACGCCAAGCAACATGATGAAGGATAGTAAAACCGGTCTCTGAACTGATTGTTGCTTTCAATATAGAAGCTCGATCGCTGCTGCTTAACTCTTGGAGAACTTCGTTAAGTAAAACAACATCTCCTTCAATAGCAGCTTTCACCACTTCTTTCGTTGGATCACCAGGATAATATCTTCTTCTACACGCTCTTTTAGCTGGTACGGCCGCCATCTTGATTAGTTGGTTGTGAAATGTTTTTGTGAGAGGGGTGGGCAAGTAAATGGTCCATGTGTCACAGGCATCCCATTCTAAGCAGCCATCTAAAAAACCGCCTTTACTTTTGTAAAAAATTTGCTACATTTTGTGCCATTATGCCGCTTGGAGGCAAACTAAGCTTGCCTTAACCTTCAAGCTCTAACCCATAATTATATCAAGAGAGAGACTGGATTTGACGATTATACATAAAAATTGCTTTCATTATTTTTTTTTTTAATCAATCCTTGAAGTGAATTATCGATTCTGCACAATTTATATTAAAATATTTCTTTAAGAAAATTAACAAAACCTTCATTAAAACCTAATATAGAATTTACTAACAACATTATTGTTTTCCGAGTTTTGCAGCTCGCAGCCACTTTGATTCCCTTCTGCTGGGTTTTAGTGCCGTCTGTTGTGAAGTATTTTGAAGGTTATTTTAAATTTATTTCGTGTTTGTGCTTGACGTTTCACTTGTAAATAGAGTCTTATTATGATCAGTTTATAGATCAAGGTTAATCCGTATTTGTGTCGACAGGTTTTCAAATTCTATTACCTTTTAAAGTAGTTTTTCAACATGAATGTCATTTATTAGATTTGATTGTCAGTCCTTGAAGTGGGCACGTTTTGGAACCGTCGCTGACCTTGATTGTTACCTACATCAGATTTCCTGTTTTGGTTTGAGGTAGAGCCTCGTAGGATTAGCTGTCACGCTTTCATTGGTTTTCTTATGGGTTTGTTTATTCCACTTTGGTTATCAACAGGCAATTCGTTTAAGTCACTCGGAAAAGCGTTTGTAACTCTCATGGTCAGCAAGCCTAAACGTAACTTCGTTTTACTTATATAAGTTGCCAGTGTTAAGCACAAGGGGGAGAGAGCAGTTGAGATTAGTTACATATGAGCTGCTGTAAAGATTAAAGAACAACAAGATGTAAACTCAGATACCTGGTACCTCAACGCTCAGCGAGCGAGTTGCTCGTAAACCCCCTACAGTATTAGTGGTCTTAGTGGGTACCCGAGGATCTGTGTAGTTGGGTAATAAAACAAAATTTTCCTTCGAATTTTCAGCTCAAATTTGCACGATTTTTTTGCGTTTCTTCTCTGCCTAATTAAACCAAATTGCACACACTTTGGAGAGCTAAACAAATAAGGCGTCAAATTTTTCTCTGACGGTTGAAGTAAATAATAGGGCCATTTATACAGGAAAAATAAGACGCGTTCTAAATAAGTTGCAAACTATCCCGTATAAACGGCACATTAAGACGCGACTTAGCAAAGACTCGTCTTATCGGAGAAAAGGTGTTAAGGACTGTTCTTAGACAAAACGCGTCTAAGCTAAGTTTCAAACGAAATGTGCCGTTTATACGGGATAGTTTGCAACTTATTGAGGATGCGTCCTATGTAAGACGCGTCTTATTTTTCCTCGTTTAAACAGCCCTAATGTCAGTAAAAGACAGTGCAAAAGACGTGTATACCCTGGGAAACTTTTTAGGTTTCTGATCGAAAACCATCCGCTAGATGGGACACTGCTTCCACGTCTTTTTTTTTACAAGGGATTTCACTGCAATAGCTTGTGTTGCGGGCGTCAAAAGAGGTCATTGAGGAAGGGAAGAAAGGAGGGGCTTTTCTTTCTCTACCCTTTTTGCACCTGCCACGCAGATTGTTTTAATTATGCCTTTGTTTGGATCAGTAGGTCTTTAACTTTTGAAGCCCCAAAGGTGACCAAACTCATTTTTCTCCTGACAATATCAATAGATAATAAAGCTAAGAGAAAATATCATGAGAATCGATGCAATGATCACATAAGGAAAAATGCTTTGATCTTTAAACAAATTCTTTCAACGAATTCTTAAAGGAACGGTCAAGTGCCAGTGAATATTGGGCCGTTAAGTTAAACTGTTTGCTCCCGCTTCCCAGAGCGTCTTGAGTCTCAAGGAAGAAATTAAAAATAATCATACGGGCATTTACCGACATTTAATTTCCCCTATATTTACAAAGGAGTTTCACAAAGCACATACATAAACAAAGACACCGAGGTGCTCTGGTGCGCGAACACGCGCAATTTCGACATGGACAACATGTGGGGCTACTGTTAATCTGTTTATTAGAAATACTGATTTTAACGCATCGGTTATTCCATTCATAGGAAGCTATTGAGATATCATCAAACGGAAGGCCTACCCAGTATCCAGCCGCTTGGCCAGAAGTCAAGCATGGACGATTTAAGCTTCACAAGTTCAGGTGGGTACTTTTGAAACATTTATGTTTTGTCTCTTCCTTTTGAAATCGATTGTAAGGTTAAATTTAATCAAGTATCTTTCAAAAATCTTTAGCGCAATGTTTTTGTTGTTATCGCTATTAACAGATGAGGAATTTACACAAGAGGAAAAAACTAGGTAAGCTTTTAGTTCTCTTTACCTCGTGTGGTTTGTTCATCTGTTAGTTTATGTTTTTGTGTGCTCCAAGAATGGTAACTCTCCTGGTTATGCCTTTTTAAGCACAATAATTGAGAAACCCATGAGGCCTTACGTTAATACAGTGAACGCCATACATAAAGAGGTATTTTGAAAGACATATAACCCTTCAAGGTAACAGATTAACCTTAAGGAGTATATGTACATTAAGTGGGAAAAGCCTGACCTTAATCAACAGGTCAAACACATCAATCTGACGCTTTCTCTATAAATGCGTGCAAGCGCATCAATTCACTTTGTAAGCTTTAAATTTATGTAGCGTATTGTTTTCCAACACAATGAAACATATACTGTACATTGTAACAGGCACGTTTTATCAGCAGTAAACTTTCAAAACCGTCACACTGACGATGACGGATGTACAGTCGAAACGTGTTTGTTAAAATTTAGAAAGTAGCACTATTTTTGAAAATTTCTGCGGTTTTGCTGCTGTCTCGACCGTATGGATCTCGTCATTGCTATGGGGTTGTATATGTTTTGGACGACCTCATGAAGAGGGGTATTTCCAGAGTATTACACTAAAAATTGTTATTTGAAAATCACATTCATTACTAATCATTGTTGTTTCCTTTTGTTGTAATTGATTCTTAACACCAAAATCCATAAAACTGTAAGTAGCTACCAGAATAAACTCAACAAAAAATAAATGAAATGGTATTTGTACGTTCAGATCATACATGGACATATTAAAGTATTTGATTGATCTTTTGACAAAAAAAAGAGAGAGAAAAGTTGTTACAAATCTTTTCACCTGAAAACCGTTATATGCAACAGATCAACACTTGTAACGGCAATTCTAATCCCACCAAGAAAAATGTTCACAGAGCGATTTTCGTACGTCCCTGAAAATACGGTTTCCGAACAATGTTTCTTACTTGTTTTATCAGCAAATATAGATGAAAAGATCAAAACATGGGGGCGTCGTTTTCCCCACCAAAGATTGTAAAGAGCATCGATCGCTTGTCCAATCAGCAGCACGACTTCAGTTCCCTACGATTTCAGACATATTTTTTTTCTTCAGCTGGACATGAGTTTCATGTGCCCTTAATGAACCATGAACTGTGACTGTTCTGTAAATCAGATTCCAATAATATTCTTTGCGGATTGCTTCACTGTGGTTCTTTTATCGGATAGGTTTTCCCTTGGTTTGAATAGTCCTGTATACAGTCTGCCGTCTTTTATATTGTTTTTTAAAGTAGTTGTTTTAAACTAATAGGGAGGCGGGGTTTGATCCCCTGGAGATTTTGGAGGGCTGGCTCCGAATGGATTTTCCCCCTCCCATTTTGACGGTCTTTCCCTGTAGTTTCCCCCTAAGTTTAGGGTTTTTTTGTTATCTTTTATTTTTTTTTTCTTGTTTTATTTCCCTTGTTTCCTTGGCCTCGGGGCATTGCACCAATCCCTTTGGACAGCCAAAATACGATACAGCACAATCACATGTATTCTGCAGCTGAAGTCCCGGATCATTTTTGATTATAATACTTGTAAACCATATCGCTTTAGAAATAAGACCTCAACCAACTCTTGCGTTCGTAAAGTTTTAAGGTTGGGAAACTCTTGAAACCGGGTTCATATAACAGTTCGAGGTGCACATGTTTTATATTAAATTGTGTACACCTAGTATTCACCTCACCAGTGTTTTACCCTTAGTTGAAATAAGCGCGGCATCAATAAAAAGAAAAATGAAATAACCGCTGCGGCGTTTAATCAATCATTTACGGTAAGCTTGATCCTAAAATACCCCTTTTATTGACCCCATACAGAGCACTTTTCAATTGAAATTGTGATCGGGTAAAGCTTAAAAAAAAAAATTGAAAACATTGGAATGTTGTAGATTCTCAGCCCATGGCCCCGGAATAATACGAAGCTATGATTTCAGGGTTCAGGCCGATCAAGTTCTTCTATTCGGAATGCTTACACGGAATATTTCTCGTAAAATTTGTATTAGATATACCATACATTACTAGAGGTATCTCAACGCGCGGAACAGGCTAGTTACACTCGGTTAAGATTGAAAAAAAAAATGCTGAAGCAGAGGATAGCATGCCAAAAACTAATATATGCATGAGATGTGGCTAGCTAATTGTTTCGGTTTACCCTTAGTTATTAAAGTGAAATGGTTATAAAACCCGAATTCTACATGCAACAATTTCCCCAGATTCGGTGCAATTTATTAATTAATCTCAGTGGGATTGATAAATTTGTAACAACAAGAAAAAAATAAACACTTGGAATAATGGTATGTGATCGTGAAAATGGCCCATTGTTATGACGCGCTAACGTGTCACTGACTAGTAAATTTTAGTACATGTATTCAGTTGCGGTGTATTCCTTTATAGGGAGGTTCAAAGTGAAAGCTCTTTTCCTGCGAGAATCATTTATCGGATCTCGGTATTCAGTTGCGGTGTATTCCTTTATAGGGAGGTTCAAAGTGAAAGTTCTTTTCCTGCGAGAATCATTTATCGGATTTCAGTATTCTGTTGCGGTGTGTTCCTTCAGATAGGA